CCCAGCACTCAGCCACCGGAACTTCCGGTCGCGCGGGTGGGCGGGGACAGAGGGGCGGGCGGGGCCGCGCGTGCACCCGAAGCACGTCGGAGGCGGGGCAGGCAGGGAGTACGCACTCAAAACAACACCACGCGCGGCATCTAAATCTGAGAAGCCCGGAGTTGGTCCTGACTGAATCCCGCCCGGGCGCTCCAACGCCGCACCTCCGAGGCCCCGCCTCGGCGCGTAGACATGGCGGAGTCCTGTGGGCTTTGGGACTGTGAGGACCCGAGCCGCTGGGCCGCTGTCCTGAAGCGCCACCCGGAGGTGCTGCGGACGCGCGCGGGCCCTCGGGGACGGTTGGAAGCCCTGGACAGATGGTAGGGCTGTGGAAGGATCGGGCGGGCGGGCGACTTTCTTTGTCCGGACTCCCCGTCACCGCCCTTCCCCAGGTATCGAGAGGAGTTGCCTGCGGCCATCAAGGGCCGAGTAGAGAAGCACGTGACACGAGATGACCTGGAGCAGTTGCTGGCGTGGAAACTGGCAGTGAGGCGCTTCCCACGTGGGGGGTGGAGTCTCCTCCAGGGGCGGGGCACAGCCTCGTGGGCGTGACTTCCTTCTGGGCGGGCCCTCCTCCTTGAGGTGGACCCTCGCGGCGTGGGCGTGGCTTCCTCCTGGGAGCCGAGACCCCGACGAGGTCTACCAACCCTGAACCCTGACACGACCTGGCCACAGAGGGGCCTTTTCCGGCCGCGCCTGCAGCAACTCGTGACCGTCAACTCCCCGGAGCTGGTGGTGCAGCGTTCGGCCGCCGATTCCGCCTCCTGCCAGACATGCATGCAGCGGTCATGGAATTGTGCGCTCTCCAGGGTGTGGGCCCCACTACTGCCTCGGGTTAGTCGGGAGACCTGGGCACGCCGGCGGGGTTTAGGGCGGGACCTGGCCTATTAGCGTCCTTATCTGTGAAGTTGCCTAACGGCTACGCACATGACACCACACCGAGATCATTGGTAAGGGTGGCCCCAGGCTGAGTCTGTCCTGGGACTGATGGGGCCTGAATGCTGGCCCTTCACTGCCCGCAGCGATCCTGGCTGCTGGAGCTCCCGAGGTGGCCGCTTTCATGTCTGAGGAGGCAGTGGCCGCAGTGCCTGGCTTGCCAGCCCTGCAGTACACTCTCAAGCACTATCTGCTGTACTTGGGCAGGGTGCAAGAGCGTGCCACAGCCCTGAGCCGAGGTGAGGAGACTGACGATGGTGGCCAGGGAGGGCATCCAGGACCCTGGTCAGGGTAGAGTGTGCACAGCTATCCAGCAGGGTAGGGTGGCCAGGGCCCCAGAGACCCAGACTCCCTCCGCTCCTCCCTAGGCAGGGCCTCAGGGCTGTGGACCCCTCACCACGTGGAGACAGCACTGTGGACATAGGCTATGGGGCAGAAGCTGTGCCCTGATCTACTGCCTGATCTCAGTCCCAGCCCAGCCACCCCCGACAACACCAGGCCAGCCAAGAAGCGCAGGACCCAGGCGGACTAACTTGGCTGTGGCCCAGAACCTGCTCACCTGCCATATGACCTTAGGCTGCAAGTGTCTCTGGACAGCAGGCTGGCAGAGCAGGAGGCTGGCTGCTGCAGAAGCTCAATAAATGCTTATTGTACTCACATGTGATCCTGAGGCCCACAACTCTCCCCAGGGGCTCCCACCTCCCACACAGAGGTACCTCCTGCCAGATGCAGAGGATCAAGGTGGGGGAGCCCATGCTGCCCACATGGAGGGAAGGGCCCTCACAATTTGTTTAGCCAGTGGGGAGAGCCCAGATCAGCCCCCAAAGTACCAGTACAGGTCCCTGATGCTGTGTAAAATATTTATTCATTCTCCAAAAAGGCTCAGACTGCAACTCTTGGAGGAGAGGCCGGGCACAGTCTCCTCTGGGGCCACCCTTGGGGACCCCCACCACACAGCCCAGTCCAGCAGTCCTTCCCCCCAGGCCTGGGAGGGGGCAGCCAGGGCTGATGTAAGGCTTGGCCTGGACTTGGCCACTGGGGCCACCTGACCCCGCGGGGAAGAAGTAGCCTCCAGACGTACATTCACAGAGGGTGGACATGCAGACCTGCCTGGTGGCTGGCCCACAGATGCTGCACCCTGGCTATTGTGGCCCTGGGGATCCTGTCAGGGTGGCGGGGGGACATGGGCACCCAGCAGGTCATAGGCGAAGACGTTCCAGAAGATGGCGAAGAGCAGGAACGTGCCATAGGCAAGCAGCACCACCCACCAGCCACACTGGTCCCGCAGGCGCTCCTCGTAGCTGCGCAGGATGGTCAGGCCCATGCTGACACCCACCACTGCACCCGCTAGGTGTGCCATGAAGCTCGGTTGCGGGCCAGAGGCAGGCAGTGGCGGGGAGAAGCGCAGCCACACAGCCCGGCCCACCTCGGAGCTCACTGCAGAGGGAGGCAGCAGGTGAGAGATGCCCTAGCAGTAGGCTGAGGCCCACCCCCCGGGCCCTCTACTTACTGCACACCAGGGCCAGCACCATCCTTAGCAGCTTGTAGGGACACCTCATCCCAGCCCAGTTCTGAGAGAGCGTGAATAAGAAAAGCTGCGAGGCAGGCCTTGTGGACCCCTCCCCGCCCGCCGCTGGGGCTGCCCCATTACCATGACGACATTGGCCAGGTGTGCGGAGCACAGGGCGTAGACCCCGCCGGAGCCCCCCACCACAGGGGCCCGCATGTCAGTAATGGAGACGGTCAAGGAACCTGTATGAGCAAGGGGAGAGCTGTGAGGTGAGGCCTGCCAGTGAGGTGCCCAGGGTGCATGTGCCTGCCTCACCTGCCAGCACACCCGCCAGGTAGAGAAGGCTGATACGGAGCAGGCCGTGTACCATCTCCAGGGGCACCCCGATCATCAGCTGCAGGAGCGCATTGAACCCCAGCTGCTCTAGCCTGGTTGTGTGGGGGCAAACAGGTACGAAGGGTGAAGTCCCCCTGCCCCCACCTCAAGGGGCCAAGCCCTCCTGATTCAATCTGAGGGGTGCCGGGGTGGGAAGCCCACTCACCCAACATGCATGAACATGTAGGTGACGAAGCGCCAGGCTCGAGCACGGTGGCCGGGGTGGTACACAAGGGGGCTCTTCATGTACTCGGGGTGGTAGGTCTGCAGCACCCACTTGTTGAAACGGGCCCCGTAGCACAGGAACACAATGATCTGGAGGGCGACAAGCATTAAGGCCAGGCAGGGCCAGGGATGCTGGATGGAGGCTCCCCAGGGCAGGGTGGGGGCGGTGGGCAAGCAGGCCCACCTGAGCTAGGGTGACCGAGGCCATAAACACTGGGGGTGGGCAGCTGCGGTGCCGGTAGAAGTACCAGTGGCGGTCCACCTCTCGGGGCAGGATCTCGTAGGCCACGTAGCGGACAAACCGCTTGTAGACACCCAGGCCCGGCTCGTCCAGCAGCCCATCCCGGGGCAGTGCCCGCTGTCCGTTGGCGATGGCCCGCTTGAAGCTGCTTGAGCGCTTGCTGCTGATCTGGGGGGGTGGGGCCTAGGCATATAGGCCACCATATTCCCCCCATGGCTGCCCTTCCTAAGTGGTCCACCCCTTTCCTCACAGGGTCTGAGGCCCTGCCCCACGTCTACAGCCCTCCCGAGTGGGAAGGGCAGGGAGGAGGGGCCGCCTGCCCATCCCACTCCAGCCAGGGCACTGTGCCTGCTAAGGCCTGGGCCCCCAACCCAGCTGCCCAGCCCCCGTGCACTGACCAGGTCCACCAGCTCCTGGTAGCAGACCTGGCCCCGCTCGTTGCTCTGGGCCAGAGCCACCAGCATGTCCAGCTTGGCAGGGTCCAGGGGCAGCTCATGGCTATGCACCAGGCCAGTGAAGGTGTCCGCACCGATGAAGCCTGTATTTTCAGGGTCCAGCTGCTGGGGTTGGGGCAGGGTGGGGGCAGTGGCCAAGGCCTGAGGGTGGGCCCAGCTCCTAGACCACAGGGCTGGACCAGGTCAGCTGGGAGAGGCAGGTTCCAAGCACCTTCAGTCCAAGCCCCTGTGCCCACATGGTCACAGAAGCTCTGGACACTGGTGCCTGGGACCCAGGCCTCCAGCTTCTCCAGCTGTCTCCCCACCTCATTTCTGCCCTGCCCATCTTGGAAGGGTAGGGCCAAGGTCTGAGGACAACCACCCTCCCTCCCGCCCTTCACCCATCGCCGTGGTCTGGCTCGCCCTTTTCTGGGGTCTCAGGCAAGGGACCAAGGTCGTGCAGGGAGAAGACTGAGCTGAGGGTCTCTGGGAGTTCCGTACCCCACAGCCCACCCAAGGGCGGAAGGCCAAGTCGGGGGCGGTGCCGGCGCCCCACCCCCACCCCCACGCACCTGTTCCTGGATAAGCTGCAGCAGCGAGCTCCTATCCATAGAGCCAGGCCGGGCC